AACCTTCCGAAAGTGCAAGTAGTGGTGGCACATAAGATGGTTTTAGGCCCCAAATACTAGATCACACTGACTCACATCATAAGAAAGTAGATCACCTTTGAGATGTCTTTAATTCGTCAAGCTACAAGAATGAGCGAATCTGTTTGGACGGCAGGGTAACACTAACGCCCTTGATACTCCGTGGTCTCCTTTGGATCGAGCAGATCTTGGCCCAGATCCCTTCACCAGCAGTCCAGTATCCAGCTAGAATGCAATGTCACTCTGTTTTCACTGAATTTATCTTCATTTATCTTCTATGTATATCAAGCAATACTGGTTCCCACTTAGGAGTGTGCTTTTAAATAAATTGATTTAAGTTGAAAGGAAGTTGAGCTTTGAAAAAGATGAAAATATGGCAGAAATTGGGGAAGGGATGTGTGATGGTTTGTCGTTTGAGAAATACTATCTTAGAAACATCTTTCGCATATTGTGTGGCTGCTCCACCACGGCAACTATGGCTGCCAGCATTTCCTGTTCTAAGAAGTAACTTCTCTTCCTTAATACGCCTCTCCCTCCAGCGCTCTCCAATATATTTTAAAGTGACACACAGTATCACCACTCATTATGTACTTCATTATGGTCATCACATATTTCATTAAGTTGAGCTATATGAAATTGCTCTTTTTATAGGTTAAATATATTTGAATAATGTAATAGATATAATACATTCTGTATGTATATATGTGTGTCTGTTTGTGCATCTGTATTCCCTTCTGATTGGCTGGGCATTGGATTAGTAGGTGGCAGGTGCCAATCATAAAATATTTTAGTAGGCTCCCTACATGGATGTAATATGTCTATCACATACCATACACACACACACACAGTTTTGGAGTTATTTGTGGTGCACTCCGACATTTTCTATTTTGTTACTTCTGCCTTCTTATTTTTGGTGCTATTCATAGCCCACTAAGTTGATTTCGTAAGCCACGGACGGGCTATGACCTGAAGTTTGTGAAACATTCTTATGTAACCACCTGTGAACGCAACCTTGTCTCTTTACTTTGGCAGGATCCTTCAACCTGACTAGAAGGCCCCTCGCCCTGAGCTCAGTGCTTCAGAGACCTGCTCCGACGGCAGCGCCCCTCCCATAGGATATGGAGTCCAAAGGCCTTTGGAAAGTGACCATCTGGATTTTTGTGCCCCTTCTCGACAATGCTCCAAGTCCCTGCAACTCCAGAATCCCCCACCTAAATTGCTCTGAACCACTTTCAGGGCCTGTGTGGCCTTCCTGGTGGGCACACCCCTAAGCCAAGGGTGGCCCAGAGACAATTATTTGTGGGTTGGGGGTGTGGATGCAGCTTGGTTATGCAGGTTGGGATGTCTACACTCACGTACATAGGCCTCTTGCAGTTCGGAAGGGACCCAGAGTGGGAAGAGAAGGGTGTCATAGGCCAGAGGTCTCCATTTTTTTGCTTACCAGGGCCTCTGCCAATGTTATGGGTGAGCTGGCATTGGCTATCAGGCTCTGTGCACGGACCAGGCCAGGGGTCTCTGACTACCCACAAACAGAACCCAGTCTGGGCTCTTACTGGCTACATTCATCTTTAACCCCACATCCCCCAACCCCTTGTCCCCGCCTGCCTCACACCAGCTGGCCTCATTCCCTTTATTCCTTGCTTGGCTTGGCTTTTGAGTCTGTGATGTCTTCCTTTATCCCTCAGGGGGCCTGTTCCTAGCCCTGGCCCCTTTCTTTCATTCCTTTTTTCACAAATGATCAGAGACCAAAGGGCGAGGACCACAGCGCTTTACTTTTGGTTTGAACAGAATGGCTAACTTGTAGGCAGTGCCTGGGAGAACAGGGGGGCTGGGTGGGCAGGGGGCTTGAGGAGGTCAGTCCCAGCTCTGGCTCCATGTGTATCTTCATCGGTGACCACTGTGTAGGCTCTGTGAAGTTGGGGAGGAGGCTGGCCACGGTGAGCAGATGCAGGCGCTCAGTGTTGGGGTGCCCATTAGGCCTTCGGCCCTCACTTCTGACAGACTCACCTACAGTAATTCGGGCATAATTGGGACAACCGTCTACACTTGCCACCTGTGGGTGAAGGAAAACGTTTGTCATGAGTTTGAATAATATTGATCACGTGTGTGCTCTGGGAACAGGGGAACAATCGATCCCTGCCTCTTGCGGGACTCAAAGGCAACGCTATAATCAAGTGAATGACAAATAAACACTGGAACAGCCAGTGCAAGGGCCCCATAAGAGGAGCTTACCACCTTCACACACAGATAAGCTCATTGAAAGCTCACAACGTTTTGTATATTAGTCATTCATTCACCAAATATTTACTGTGCACCTATTACGTGCCAGGCACTGATCTAAACACTGAGAACACAACCAAACTAGAACGATGAAAAACTTCAGCTTTTGTAGAACTGATTTTCTCGTCAGGGAGACCAGCAATGAGAAGAAGAACACAGTCTAATGTATAACCAAAAACCAAAACTAAACCCACTGCATCGAGTAGATTCTGACTCATAGAAACCCCCACTGGGTTTCCGAGGCGGTAAATCTTTACGGAAGTAGACTGCCCCGTCTTCCTTCCACAGAGTGGCTGGTGGGCTTGAACCACCAACCTCTGGTTAGCAGTCAAATGCCTCGGGCACTGTGCCACCAGAACTCAAGGAGTCTAATGTATCGACGATGCTAAGTGAAATGGTGATAAGTACTAAGAAGAAAGTTCTAGTGGTGTGGTGCCTAAGGCATTTGACTGCTAACCAGAAGATTGGCGGTTCAAACCCACCAGCCACTCCTCAGAAGGAAGGCTGGGCGATCTACCTTCTTAGTAATACAGCCTTGGTATGAGTTGGATCCAACTTGATAGCAGTGAGTTTGGTTTTTTTTTTTTTTCTTACTATGAAGAAAACGAAAGCCAGGAAGGGGGCAGGGAGGTCCAGGATCCAGAGAGAAGGATCAGGTTCACTAAGGGGAATGGGGGTGGGGGTGGGGGAGTCACCTGGCCATCCCGAGGAAGAGTGTTCCAAGCAGAGGGAACCACCAATGTAAAGCCCCTGAGGGTGTAAGTAGGCTCAAGGAACAGCAGGAAGGCCAGGAAGCTGGTTCACTGACAGGAAAGGGTGGGGGGACCTTAGAAGCTAAAGGAGACTTCAGAAAACTGTCATCTCCCTGTCTCCCGGCTGCCACCCTGGCTCCACTCATCTTCCTCCCTTCTCCCCCAACAGCCCTAATGGCCTCCTCACCGTTATTGCAACATGCTCAGGTCACTCCTACTCGCAGACCTTGGCACTTGCTGTTCCCACTAGCTGGTTTGAAAATCACCTTTCTCATCATCAGAAATCAATTCAGATTCCACCTCTTCAGAGGAAGCCCCTCTCTCCGGTCCTCTCCGTGTTCTCACTCTGCTTTATGTCCCTCTTGGCAAATCTCTTTCTCTGAACCACCCTGTCCATTCAGGTATTTAATTGCCTGTTGTTGTTTCCCCCCCAGATGTGAGCTCCCTGAGGGCTGAGCCCAGGACTGTGTGTGCTGTGTCCTCAGCATTATCCAGCACAGGCCAGGTACAGAGTGGCATCCACAGATGTCTGTTGTTGGAACAACATGTGGCCTCAGAGCTAACATTCAGGCTCTCCCTTCACACAGACCTGGGTCCAGTCCTTCCTTGATTCTTACGTGCTGTGTGACCTTGGGTAAACTCCTCAACTCTCTGAGCCTTGATATCCTTACTCAGAAGGAAACAGAGCCTGACATCAAGTAAGGCTCAATAAACACCAGTTTAACTCAGGGAACAGTGCCTGTCATGCCCAGACTCCACGAGAACCAGGCACATGTCGGCAACATCTTTCGTGTTCTGGCTACAGGCCAAAAGTGGGTAGGTAGTGTGGTCATTGCCCTGATGAGGTGATTAGACAGGAGGGAGTGAAACTTGGTAGAGGTTATACAGCTTAACTGAGAGGCTGTAAATTGGTGGTCCCTGTATTTTATTTGATGCCCACCCCCTAAAAAAATCTTAAGCAAAATTAGTTGTTTTGCTTGTTATTTTCCATCTTCTCCCTTTCCTAACCCGCATTAGGTCCTAGGAGGCCAACCTGATGGACCATATGCCTCTAGCCTCTCACTCTCTAGCTCAGAACTGGCAGGAGATTGGAGGAGGAGGGCAGAAGATAGAGGTTTCGATATTTGACCTCCATCCCCTGTGTTCTCCCTGCTGGGCTGCAATGTAGTAGTCCCTAGAACCCTCTCCCTGGGCCCACAGCTACTGCCAGCAGCCCCCTCCTCCAATTCCACCTCTCCCCAGGCTCTGGCATAGCCATTACCTCCTTTCGACCCTTCAGGCTGGGTAATAACGGCTCCTGGTTGTTGCTAGTCCTAGGGGGCTGCACCACTAGTCTGGGCTTCTGTATTAGTCTCCCCACTAAACACGAATGTCCATCTGTCACTTGCCATGACCCTGACTGACACAGCTACCAACACCTAAGCACAGCTCATCCCTGGGCTAGCCTGTTGGAACGTAAGACCGTAAGAACCAAGGGGGGCCTAGAAACAGAACTACCTGATAACCTGCAATTGACTTTATGATGCAAGAGTAAGTGCAGCTGAGATCAGAAGCGCCACTCAGCTGAGCCTAGCCAAAATTCAGAATCAAGAGCTAAATAAATGGTTGTTGTTTTCAGTCACTGAGTTTTGGGGTGGTTTGTATACAGCAATAAGGAGCTCTGGTGGTACAGTGCCTAAGGCATTTGACTGCTAACCAGAAGGTAGGAAGTTCAAACCCACCAGCTCCACAGAAGGAAGGTGGGGCAATCTATTCCCGTAAAGATTTACTGCCTTGGAAACCCAGTGAAGGTCACTATGATTTGGAACTGACTCGATGGCAGTGGGTTTTTGATTTTGTATACAGCAGTAACTAACAGAGACACCTCACTTAAAACAGTCTCCCCAGGTGCCTTCAGAAACCTAATTAATGCTCAGCCACAGTGCAAGCCAAGGCCTTTTCCTCCCACTCTCAGGGTCCCTTCCAGCCCACCCCATTCTCACTGGTGAGGATGATGATGCCCATGATGAAAAGCACAGCTGCCACCAACAGACCCCGCTTCCGGAGGGCGTCCTCATCTGCAGAGAGACAAACGGAGGGGCACAGTCAGAGGACTTTAACCCTTGCTCCCTGTGCCCAACCCTCGACAGTGACTTACCATAGAAGAAGGGGTCCTCCATCACCTCACCTGACCCTGGATGAGGCAGACAAGGAGCAAGTTAGACTTCAGCAAAGGTTTGTCAGGGGGATAAGTTAATGGCAGAGTCAGGAAGAGGGGACACCTGGCTGTCAGACTTGGGACACCTGGAACAAAACCCAAAGTCCTCAGGTGGGCACCGTCTGGCTCCTGTGACCTCTCTGCCCTCTTCCGCCACTCTCCCCACCCACGGGGCTCCAGCCCCACTGGCATTCCCACTGTGGGCCATCCCAGGCCCCTTCCTACTTCAGGGCCTTTGCTCTGGTTATTCCCTGTGCATGGAACACCATTGCCCAGACAGCCACCCGGCCTCTCCTCACCTCCTTCTCAGCGCACCTTCCCCGGCCCTTTGTATAACACACTCCCCAGTGCCTCTTTAACTCTTCATTTTTCTTGATTGCAGATGAAACTACCTGATATAAATCTATTCTGCTTATTATTCATTGATTCTCTCTCCCCAGCTGGAATCCAGCTCCGGGAGGGCAGAGGTTGTTTATGTCAGTTTTGTTCACTGTTATGGACCCAGCACCTAGAACAGTGCCTGGCACATGGACGGTGTTCACTGACTCATTGAATGGGTGAACAGACTCTCCATGTGTCCCATGGACGTGTCTTTTCCATTTGTTCACTGTGGGTTAACTGGGCAGGGAGCAGAGGATAAGACCATAGGGGAAGAATCCAGGTGTCCCCAGAAACGGCTCCCTGACGACCTGCCACTGACCACAGACCATGTGTCAATGCAGCTGAGCCCAGTCTAAATTTCCCAACTGCAGAACCAAGAGCTAAATAAGTAATTGTAATTTTAACCCATTGAGTTTTGGAGTGTTTTATATGCAATATTCATTCATTCATCTATTCAGACATTTATTGCATGCCTACCCTGTACAGAAGACACTTGCCTGCTAACCAGATGGCTGGCGGTTCAAACCCACCAGCCACTCCTCGGAAGGAAGGTTGGGCAATCCTACTTCCGTAGTGATACTGCCTCGGAAACCCAAGGAGGGGTCACTATGAGTCAGGTTTGACTCGACGGCACATAACAACAACATAACAACCCTGTACAGAAAGGAGTGCTAGTGGCGTAGTGGATAAGGCCTTGGAAACCCAACAGAGCTCACTGTGAGTTGGAATCAACTTGATGGCAGTGAGTTTGTTTTTTGGTGTTTTGGTATCCTACACAGAGATGCCCTGGTGTGCAGTTACTAACCAAAAGATCAGCAGTTTGAATCCACCAGCTGCTCTCTGGGAGAAAAATGTGGCAGTCTGCTTCCATAAAGATACAGCCTTAGAAACCCTATGGGGAAGGTCTATTCTGTGCTAAAGGGTTGCTGGAGTTGGAATCAATGAAATGGCACAGGTTTGGGGTTGTTTTTTTTTTTTTGGTACCTGGTTTTGAATTCACTTATTCATTCAATACGTATTTACTGAGGACCTGCTCTGAACTGAGAAGTGTGGAAATACACAGTGAATAGAAAACAGCCTGTCCCCAGCCTGGGAAGGAAGTCACTGACCAGCTTGCCTTGGAGTAGAGGATCCTCTCCTGCTCTCTTTGCCTGGGGATCGTCTCTCGGAGAGCGTGGTGCCTTCAGTGGGATCAGCAGTGTCCAGAAGACAGCAGAGGGCAGGAGTGAGCCATGGGGACAGAACAAAGGAGTTCATCGAACGTCCATTTGAGAGGAGCCCCTGTCCCACACATGCATCAGGTACGCAGGGCCCAGGGTGTCCTCCTCATGCCTACCCGCAGAAGCCACAAGCATGGCAGGAGTAGAATATTCAAATAAGCCTGCACCTGCTGCTTAGGACCAGCTGTGCCAACTCCTGAGGGTCCCCTGGGCCCTCCCCCAGCACTACCCCCACTGCCTCGTAATCCACCAACTAAAGGGTGACACTTGGCACAGCCAAGGAAGGGGGCTGCCAGAACATTCATGCCCAGATGTGCAGTCCAGAGATACTTGTTGTAAAAGAGTTTGAGTATCACCTCTTCCCCAGACCAAAAATATCAGAGTTCCTTTCTTTTAAAAAAAAAAGTATATGTGTGTGTGTGTGTGTGTGTGTGTGTGTGTGTGTAGACTTCAGAAGGAAGGTTGGACAATCTACTTCCGTAGTAATACTGCCTCGGCAACCCAAGGAGGGGTTGCTATGAGTCAGGTCTGACTCGACGGGCACATAACAACAACAACAACAACATGTAGACTACACACACACACACACACACACACAGTCTATCTCAATGCCCCAAAGAAAAGACCTGCCCTCTGGCACTGAGAAGCGTCCCTAATGAAGTGGCCATTCCTGTCTGAGGCCCCAGTGTGAAGCTAGTGGATGGAGAAGTTGCCAAGCCCTGCAGTCCTGTCTCAGTGGCTCGCCCACTAAGTGTGAACTGACAGCCAAGGATCACGAGATGTTCCAGTAAAGCCTTGCCAAGGGGAAGGTATAAACGAGATGAACAGCAGGGCCGGAGATGCTGAGATCACAGAGAGGGTAAAGGACAGCCATGTGCATGTGTGTTCGTACACCGTGGAGCTAGAGAGCCTAGGCTCAAATCCCGGTTCTGCCACTTCTAGCTGTGTGGCTAAGGCAAGCCAGGTAACTGCGCTGGGCCTCAGTTCCCTCCACTGTAAAATGGGGTAATGACTGTTCCCACCACCTCGGGTGGCTGTGGGCGTGAAATGAGTTAATACATGAAAGCCAAGCACAGTGCCCAGCACTGAGCAAGCGCTCCGCAAACACTAGTCGTTGTTACTGCCTACTTGAGATTCCTCCCTTCTTCTGGGAGCAGCTCCCCATTTATTTGGTGAAATATTCCCCCTTCCCCATGCCATGTGGCTGCAGTGACAGCTACATGGCAATTGTGACCCAGGCCAAAGGGGAGCACGAGATGCCAGTCCAGCCAACCTGAGTCCTCCCCTGGGACCTTTCAAAGCCCAAGTAGGGATTTTGAAGGATGAAGCTACGTAGCTCTGAGTCAGGAGACAACAGGAGCCATTTCCCACGGTGTGGAAGTGAAGCCAAGCATGAGAGCAGCAAAGGTGGAGGAGGAAGGGGGCTCTGGGGGCTTTGAAGAGCGTATAGCAATCAATCTTCTTAAAAGTCAGATTTTGTGTCTCCTGTAGCTGAAAACTTCATTAAGAAGACATATACAAAGGAAACACCCACAGTCACAAATTCATCACCAGCCCTGTGAGAGGATCCAAACCAAAAAGGGTCCCCAAGTCCATCAAGTGTAGGAAATGCTGCGTACGACCCCTCTTTGTTCACTACAAAATAGCTTTTGAAAGGCACTGAGAAGTTTTGTCATAAAGAAACATGTTTAACTTTAACTCAGAGTTTCCTAAACACCTTTCCACAGACCAATGTATTTTTAAAGAAATATATTAACAAGTCCCAAAATGGTGCTCTGAAAAAACGTACTTGGGTAAAGGCTGACCTAGATAGAAAACGAAACAAAAATTTCACATGAAGTTCTTAGTCTCAGGCTGTACCTCCCCTGCCCCGCGTGTCCGTGGCCGTCAGCGCTCCTGTAGTTAGCTCATCCGTTCCCTTCAGTTTCTGCGTCTGGGTGTTGGCCTGGCTCTGTGTTGTTTCTACTCAGATCAGAACAGCAAGCAGAGGAGGATGAGAAATGAGTGAGTCAGGAAAACACAGATCCAAAGGATAGCAAGGGAGCGTCTCCCCTCTACCAACCGGCAAAAATCAAGCACATTGATATACCTAGTTAGTGTCGCTGTGGGATGGGAAATGGACACTCACACTGTTGGTGGGAGGGCAAACAGGTGCAGCCACTAAGCAAGGCAACATTTCAAAACAAATTTAAATGTTTAGACACTATACTCCACAGTGTTATAGGTACAGGCAAGGGCTCAGGAGCCAGATGCCTGGGCTCACGTCCCACCTGCATCACTGACTGGCTGGGGACCTTGGGCAAATGACTCTGAGTCTCTGTTGCATTATCTGGAAAGTAAGAATAATAGTAGTTTTACCTCATAGGGATCTTTTGATGATTAAATGAGTCAACACAAGTAATGTGCCAGGTATGATTCTTTAAAACCATGGTTGCCTGGCACATATTAAGTTCTAAATATGTTCATTTGAGGAGGAAGGGACTGTGTATAGCATAAAAATCTAGAAGCCACCACAACTGGTCATCAACAGGAGTGGAGCAACATTAACTCATTAACTGTGGCACAGACACCCTGTGCAATACGATGCAGCATGAACAAGGTGAGCCGTTATATAGCAATGTGGAAGGAGCTTCTAAACATATTCTTTTAAAAAAAAATTTTTTTTATTGTGATTTGCGTGCAAATTTACAAAGCAGATTCATGTTACTCTCAACAGTTCATGCACATTTGGTTTCACCACCTCAATATACAAGCGCTTCTCCCACCTCCTCCCCGCGACTGCCCCTTCCTGTGTCCTTCTTATCTACGCATTCCTATGTGTACAGCTTTCCCTCTGTGCAAATGCTCCCTTCTGATCTCCCACAACTGATTGTTCTAAGGGGTGCATCTCTCTGGGGTAGGTGTTCTGCCTGTAGGCCTTTCCACTGTCTGGCTGAGAGCTAAGCCACAGAAGTGAGTCTAGTCCCAGGCCCAAAGGATAACCTGAGGCCATAGTCTCTGGGGCTCCACCAGCCTCTATCTGACCAGTAATTCCGGTCATTTTTGTGTTTTTTAAGTTTTGTTCCTCAGTTTTCCTCCCACTCTATGCAGGATCTCCAACTTTGATCCCTTTCTGAGTGGCTGGCATTGGTAGCTGGGCACCATCTAGTTCTTCTGGTCTCAGGATCATGGAGGCTGAAGTCTGTGTGGTCCGTCAGAACCTTGGACTAATTGCTTACATATAACTTTGATTTTCTTCACTCTTCTTTGCTCCAGACAAGGGGAGATCTTGCATCTTAGATGGCTGCATAAAAACTTTTAAGACCCTAGCTGCTGCTCACCAAAGGAGGATGTAGAATAAGATTTTTACGTATTATGTTGTGTCAATTGAGCCTG